GAACTTAGCGGCCACGCCAGGAAATTCAAGAAACAACTGGGACTTAGCGGGAGTAGGAATTTTGAATCTTTGGCCGCGCGGCGGTTTTTGAATTTTTTGCGCGCCGCGTAAACCCGTTCTCCCGCTCTGCATCCCCGCGCCATCTTCCCTTCTTGCTGTGCATCTCCCTCCTGCATGTCTCTTCGTCTTCCCTCTAAGCGAAGTCCGATCCCCTCCTCCTTTCCCTGCGAATGACTTGCTGTCTGATTGGGATGGTCGGGGCAATGACATTGTGGTGGCCGCGGGAAGCGCACCCCACTTGGATGACCACCCCAATCACGCAGATCATTCGATTCGCCTCCTTCGATCCTTCTGGAACGTCTGCCTTTCTTCTGTCCTGATCATGTACACCCCGCGCTTCGCGCAGCCTCTCCACTGCCTTCCGCGTTATAAATTCTTGCAACCCCTTCCTCTCACTCTCTTTGATCTCGGCTGCAAGCTGTGCAAGCTATGCGCGAAGCGCACGACGCCGAAAAGGCTCGACGAGCCCCGTGGTGGGCGGAGTGACGGCAGGTGGCGGAGTTAGCGGTAGGCTTGGGGTAAGGCAGTCGGAGGGACTGAGCGGTGGTGGAGATCAGACGCCGGCAGCGGCAGGGCCTTGTGGCTATGGTTGTCGGTGGTTTGGACGGATCGGGGACTGGGCTCGGAGTGGCCAGTCGTGAGAATTTTGTGTTTTAAAACTCGCTTTTTCTCCATTGCTGCGTTGTCCCCGTATGATGTGTGCATGGTCCCAATATGTGGGTGATCTGTTATGCATGTCGGGTATGAAAGTCTATTGATATTGAATGTTTCAGTAAGGACGGTATGAGTAAGCGTATGTGTACACGCCCCCGGGACTGATAATAAGAAGTATCGAATGTCGATTGCTGGCCTGTGTGCATGAGCACGTCGACCCCTCCTCCTCCCATTCGTCGTTCGACCCGAGCGGGTGTGCGGGATACGCACCACCCTCCTTCCGCCGTCTCTCCCTCTTTCATCGGATCGGACAGAACGGTCGTCCGCGTTTCCGCGACGCGGCCGATCTCTCTGGAGTTTGGACCCCTCCCGGGGTTCCCGACATTGCGTTCGAATGGATGTTATAGGAGGGAGAGAGACAGAGAAAGGAGCCAAGCGCATCCTTGCGCCGGTATTCGTTGGTCCTTGCATGGAGTCAGGTTTCGCCTTGACTGACGGGAGTGTGGGCCGAGGCCCGAGCTCAGACTTTGTCTCTGTGCGTCGCAATACGCTTCCGCCATTCCCGATCGCAGATGACGACGGAGTATACTGCGGCACGGACGTGCGGGGCGTACGGCAGCATACAAAGCCAATCCATCTTTATAACCCAACCCAGGCGTGCCACATAAGAGGGAGCGAATTCGTGCTAATTGAGCAATTTTCTTCCCCGCCTTTGATCTTGCCATACACAGACCTCACGGTGTTGTCCTGGTCCGCGGTGCACGCCGAGTGGCGGCCGCAGTTTAATTGTCACTGGTGCCGTCAGGGGGACTCGTGCTCGTGGCGACGGTTGGTCCTGGGTACGAAGGAGCCGCCCGCTTTCCCGAACTCTCCCACAACGCGGGGGCCTCCCCGCCCATTTCGGAAACCTGGGTTCCCTCGACCCGCCCGACCCCGGGCGGCCCTGTGTCGTGCCAAACGCACGGACTCGATGAACTGGACGTGGAAGCCTCAGTCGAACCGATTAGGGGGTTCCTGCCCCCAAAGGCCGGGTGAACTTGGCGCCTTGGGGAACAAAACTCCCTTCCCGCCGGCTTCGTCTCTGTTCTCCCCTCCCCTCTCGTTTTGTTTTCTTTCCTTTTTCCATGTGGTGACGACGGTTGGCCCGTAGGGCACCATCGTTCGTCCCCGGCGACAGCTCAAGCCCCATCCTGCGCACCTCGGCCCGAAGCAAGAGTCACCCGTTTCAACCGGGTGGCTCAACCCCCATGGCCAAAAATCCTCGGGCACGCCCCTAACTACTCTGATCGGCGTCCGAAGCACGGAATGCTGCGCGGGGCGTGAGGTTAGCGCATCACATGCGCGCAACAGGTTCGCCTCTCTCATGATTTCCCTACTCTCGCAGCAACGTTTGCGAGCTAAGCGCCACAACCAGAGACGTTTCCACTTTCATCCGATGGCAGTGCCGCCCCCTACTCGTGCGGAAAATGGTGGGATCCCGAATTTTGCCAGAAAGTAGTTATGGTAAGTACTGTGGGATCCGACCCTTCGACAACCAGTAGTTCGTAAAGCCGTGCCCATTTTGGGGCCACAATTTTAGGAAACGTCTACAGGAGCGCCCAAATTCATCCGACTAGAAATGTTTCCACTCTTATTTTTTTCCATGGCCTATAGCTGGGCCAAGTACTGGTGTTTTAAGGTTTAGGGGCAGATCCCACGTCTTTCTGTTTTCGGAAGAACGTGAAAGCGCTGCGAAAGGTGGAAACGCAGCGCACAGAACGTGAAAGGAAAACGCGACCCCACATGCCCTAGTTCTGCGGGACTTTTTCTAACGGAGCGGCACTATCTTGTGGCGCTTCGAAGATCCAACAGCCTGCACATCAGGAAAAAAAAAAGGAAGAAAAAAACAAGGGCAACTTCTTTCACGGTGCAGGGTACGGGGGTGGCATCTTTTGATTTTTGAAAGAACTACCGGCCCTCAAACTGCGCTCACACGTGACACTGCCACGTACTAGGCTGTTTCCACTTCTCCGAAAAAACAGGGCCACCTCCGGCTCTCGTGGAAAGAGGTGGGATCCCAAAATTTACCAAAAAGTGCCTCGCCCATAAGAAGTGGGATCAGGCCCTTAGTGTCAGCCAAGGAGCGACTCCACACTTGCTTTTTCCTCCCTTCTTTATTTGAGGGCGCTCATGCGTCCTCCTTTCGCGGCAGGCTTGTGGCAGTCTTTTCGGACTTTTGTTTCTATTCATCAACGTCTTGCTTGAGTTTCGCTTTGTTGGCCTCTCTTTCCGGACTTGGTTCGAGTTTACAACCATTTTGGCAGATTGACGGAGAGATGCGGGGGGTTGTTTCCTGGCCGCAGCGAGCTGCAAAGGTATCTGACAGGATGCCAAGCCTGTTTCCTGGCAAGTGAACAGTTGGGGGTTGTTGCTTTTACATTGTTTGTGTTATTGTTTTTTTTTTGTTTTTTGTTTTTGTTTTTTGAAGACTCAGCATGGGTCTACTAGAGGGGGAGTGGTATAAGCATCTCCCTCTATTAGGCTCGGCCATGGTCGCTCCGGTCTATTGGTGAGGAGCAGCACCTTCTGGAAACCGGGTCCAGCGTTCCCATATACGTCAATATCCCCTTGCATTTTAGTCACCTAGTCACCAGGGCCATTACCTGGCTTCGGCTCAGGAAACTTGGGTTCTAGAAATGCAGCCTCTTCAGCCCTCAAGCGGGCCACATGATAAACAGAAGTGTCCCTGGCTTTCTTATGGTGTCCTTATTGTGCCGCTGGGGCTCGTTCCACACTCATTGGGGCGTCCTCGGGGCCCGAGGACGATTCCTTGGAGTCGCCCGAGGAAATTCCCGCCTTCGTTACACTCATCCTCGGAAATGTTCCCCGAGGACGATTCCTCGGGTGCTCCCGCGGCCAGTTGCATATTTCGACACGCGGACGCGGGGGGGTTGGCGAGGTTGGTCCAGCGGGTTGTGTCCGTGGCGTCGCCCTTGGTCCAGGAGCTGTGGGCGACGCGAATTCGAATTTACGCGGCGAAAAGAAAAAGGCCACGTAAACGGCGCGCAGTCCCGGATTCGAATTTCGACATTCGAATCCCAGTAAGCGAATGACGGCAGCGCGTGTGTCCCTTACGGCTGACGGCAGCAACGTTCGTCGGCGAGACTGTTTCGGTATGGGGTGGCGGCTTCGTGGGGTCTGCTGGCACGCCAACCGTCCATGAATACGTCCGAAGCAGCACGACCGCCGTCACACGATCGCCAACATTGTGTGCTTCGCTACGCGCGCCTTCGCCGTCGACGTGCACGCCGTTCAGTCGGGTTTTCACGACGCGCCATCGCTGTTGTTCCCACCGAAGTCGAGCCTTCTTCACTTGGCGAGGACGAGCGATGGATGTGGACGGGGACGGGGTTCATGACGCACTCAGCAAGGCGGAGAGGGCGGCTGTGGCAGCGGCCGTGAACATGATACTCATCAGGTGTCAATTGCAGAGGACGGAGGGGAGGATGAGAGCAGCCATTCGCGCACGCCGGAAGAAGACACTGCAGTCCATTCATGTGGACGAAGAGGGCAGTGGTGCCATTTGCGACGCTGTCCTTCAAGTGTGCTATGCCATGGGTTGTGGAGCGTTTCCCAGAGCGACGCCGAGGTGGTGGATGAAGCGTCGAACAGGGGGGGTGTGGGAGGATCTGCGGCAATGCGACGACGCGATGGAAGACTACTTCAAGGACAAGCTGCGCATGTCGCCACGGGTGTTATGGGAGATAGCGGAAACTCTGTCTCCCTTCCTTCAACGGCGTGTGACGTTTTATAGGGAGCCCCTCCAGCCTGACCTCATCGTAGCGTTTGCTTTGTACAGATGGGCGTCGGAGGAGACGTACGAGAGCGGGACGTGCAGCTTCGGCATTGGCAGAAAGTCTGGGTTGGTGGCTGTGCGGGATGTTACGTCGGCGTTGCTGAGTGCGTATAGCGACAAGATATCATGGCCAACGGGGCTGCAAAAGGCGGTCGTCTTGCGCGCTTTCGCTGACAAGGGTTTCCCCAACTGCCATGGCTGCATTGATTGTACCCACATATTCATCGACAAGCCAACCAATTGCCCCGGAGAGGACTACTACGACAGAAAACGTCGTTTCTTCGTCTAGGCTCAGGTGGTCGTCGATCTGAACTTGTGCGTGCTGGATGTGTTCGTCGGATACCCGGGGAGCTGCCACGACGTGAGGATCGTCCACCTGTCCAATTTGTGGGCGCGTGCGGAGGCAGGGGAACTTTTCACTGGGCCACCTGTCATGCTGCCTTTCGGTGTGCGAACGAACGGCTATCTACTGGGCGACAACGGTTACCCCCCTCGGAATGGGTAGTCGTCCCCTACGGCGGTGTATCGCAGCACCCGTCGGAGATTCGGTTTGACAACAAGCAGAAGACGGCGAGGGGAGCAGTCGAGAGGGCTTTCGGCAGATTGAAGGGGATGTGGAGGTTGTTCCTTCGCTCCCACAAGACGAACATGGACACGTTGCCGCAGCAGTTCGTCGCCGTCTGCATTCTCCACAACATACTCATCGACGCGGCCATCCCGTTCGACGACAATCTGTTGTGGGAGGTCGGGCCGGACGGTGTTCGTCGCAGGGTGGACCTTGGGATGCACCGCCTGTTGAGGCAGATGTGCATGGAGTCGTCGACGGGGGATGCGCTGATCCTACGGGATGCACTGGCGGAGCGAATGGGTACGCAGTGAAGACGAGCGGTCGTCGGGAGCGGGCGGCATGCAGAGAGAGAGAGAGAGAGAGAGAGAGAGAGAGAGAATCGACCGCTACCTGTGTCGGTGGGCGTTGGCGTGCATGCGGCGGCTTGTCTGGCGCACTTTAGTTTCCTGTACTTTCGCATTGCGCCGCACTTATGAGGTTTTCGCCGGGTGGGGTCTACGGCGAAGGCACAATCCATGTCGTCGGCTTAGGGGGTTTCGTGATGCGCATGTGGTTGTAGGTCTTTGCGACGATTTGCAGTGTGGTGTACACCGTCAGTGACGGGTGCGAGTGACGGAGGCCATCTCCGTGTGTGGTTGGAAGGGTTTTTTTTTTTTAGGCTGGTCGGGATCGAAGTTGCCTTCAAGGCTTGTTACATCGTAACTTTGACATGTTGTGCTGTTGTCGGGAGTGACAGCATTAAGATAACATATCTTGTGATCTTTTTTTTGATGTCGTGGAGGTTGTTTTCCGTGTTCGTGTCGAATGACAAGTAT